ACTAGCAGTATTAGAACAAACTAGTAGAAATACTAGCAGAATTAGTGGAAAATAGAGAGAAATAGCGTTTATTATTATAAATTATTCGATCTGCAATTCATGGTTATCCCCTAGAGTTAGGTACATTCTGTGATTCTCGTTAAGGTAATGCATTAATCAAATTGAGTGGCGAAACCTTTGAATACATCATGTAGTTTAAATTAGACACTTTGTCAACTGTATCAAGGAAAATAACTGTCGCGCACCCAGGAAATATATATAAATATAAAAAAACAGACAAATTAGGCTAGAAATGAATGAAATTTTGTTGAGAAAGTAGTACACATTAACGAGTATTCAACTTTATTTTCATATTCAATGGATAATAATGATGAAACTAAAAGTAGATTTACTATCAAATTTGGTTTCCGCGGTCAGTTCCATTCCATATTGATTGTGGAGTAAATATATATAAAACATTTATTAGAAAAGTTCCGTAAATTAACCATGGCATTAGTGAAAAGGTGGATGACATCAAACGAAAGCTTAGATAGTGTGTTTATGTGTGTATGACTTGGTCAATGTCTGTTATTAAAACTAAACATAATTAATTGTACCATGCATATACACAAAACAAAGGAGAGAACTAATTTTTTCTGGTTATTTTAGAAACGATTTTTCCTCATTGTATTCCATTTGCAGTGCAATGTTTATTATGAGAATGAGAGTTAAAAAATAATGAAAAAATATTAGTTTTGCTCGGTCTGTGGTTAAGTGCTCTTTTTTTCGTTTTATTCGTGTGTCATTCAAAATGAAGTATGCAGTTTGTGAGTCATTGGTCTACAATGTTGCTGTATACAATAGTTTCGCCTGATGCGGTGGTCATTGGTTGTGAAATAAGCTTGTTACGAAAATAAATTTAGTGGAAAATGAAGTTTAAATTGATACTTCAATTCATGTTCAATTCAATCAATTATTTGTTGAATGTGATTTCTTTCTTTGTGTTTGTGTGTTCGTTCATCGGAACACATTGTTTAACAGATTTATGTTCGGAAATTTATTAAAAAACTTCAAACAATATTGAACAGAGTAATTTAATATTCCGAGAAAATGAATTCATTTGAACTGTAAATTGATGAACAAAGTTGGCTCTTTATTTCATTGACGTTATAAAGTAACAACAACTAAAAAAAAAGAGAATATAGGAACTCAACCATAAATGTCGACATTAAAACGAGATGTCGCATGCAATGTTCCATTTAATTGAACAAAATTTGTTCGACATACAGTATTTAAGGTGTATATCCTATGAAAGCGACCATCCATTGACGCTAACAAGTTAAACAATTTATACAAAAAGTAAAATGTCCATGTCTTTTTTCGATGTGATGTTTCATAAAAACATCGTCATACTTTTATTAAAATTGATTATAAATTTGAATATTTCTTTGTATATCCTGTGAATTTTATTGATTTCAATATTTTTATTTATAAATTTTTGTGTCTTTTATTAGCATCAATCTTCAAATGACGTAAAAGTGATGATAAGACGATTATCTATAAAATCAAGTGGCGTGTATCGCTGCGAAATATCAGCCGAAGCACCGAGTTTTTCTTCCGTTGAAGGCGAAGGACGAATGGAAATAGTTTGTAAGTATATTTTCAAAGTGCAATGCCAAACCATCCACAAAAAGAATATTTTTATCGAACGAAATGTAAAGTAATGAGAGAGGGAGAAGTTCACTCGAGGGGTTTTCTATGTCGGTGTCATTATGCAATACAATGTAGATGAAGTTTTTGGTTTTCATTTAGATGAAGTTAAGGCTTTTAGTGTTCACATTTATATTGACTACGACTATGCGAGTGCATAAAATGGGAGACTATGCTGGCGAACGTACGAATCGGGTGAGAGGCGAATCGAAAGTTTTCTTTGGACAACGAAATGAAAAGTTCATTTTATGTGGCCATTACAACGATTATTTGCTTCTTTTGCTCTCGCTCTCTATCTCATGTTATATTTTGCTCGAATTTATTTCATGTTTTCGACAGCGTTCACATTATTAATATTTCAGTCAGATCGGGCAGTGAATTGAGGCGAAATTCTGTTCGACTACATTCAGAAAAGTCAATTTCTTTTCGGTTTTGACTCCTTTTTTGATGAACTTACACTTTATGCATTCAGACATTAAAATTTACATAAAACTTTGATTTCAACTATGTCGATCAATTCAATAAAATATGAGAGGCAAAGCACGTCTTTGATTATACAAACAACAGCCCAGCACATGAAAGTAAACATTTTCCATCGACAACTTCTCTTCCTCTTTCTCTCTCTCTATCTCTTTCCCACTTTCTCTGTCTTTTTTCCCATCGACGACCAATCAAGATGAGACGAAACCCCAATGTTTGTTATGATATTTTATATTGAAATGGAAAAACTTCGCTTTCATAGCAGCTTTGCGATGGAAATTTATTACAATGCGCAAATCGTTTAAAATTCAATAATCCAAGTCCCTTAGCGGTGACCGTAAACACAATTTTATCCTTTTATAGTTTTGTTTTACAGTCAGCCTAAACCAATTTCTTTATACGCCATATATGCTTCATAATAAACTGTCATCATCGAATATCAGTCAACAAAAACCTAAAAGACGGTTCAATACACACATAGTAAGAGATAAGCGTTGAATGTTTAATCGCAAATAGTAATATTTTACAATCGACAAGAATAAACCCGCTTTCGTGTTATGCAATCGCAAAAACGAAGAAGAAAAGTAATAAGAATCCCATCGGAAATGGAAGAGAGCATATCGAATAAACAACGTACAAATCTGTTCAGTTCATCTGTACAGCGAAATTAAAATAAATGTGCAATTATTTATTAATGTCATGTGCAATGAGAACGAGTGGGTGAAAACTGAAGCTGCAATTTTGAATTAGATGTAATCTGTGCAACGTTGTGCCATTTGATAGTTGGCATTAGTTTAGTGCTTCTTTTCGATTGTACACACTTCCAATGTAAACACCCCATGACATCGAACGCAAAATGTTTTGTGCATTTTTTTATGTATATACATGATTTAAATTTAGATTGGAATAGAAAATAGAAAAAAAAAACACGAGACCCAAAGCGAAATGGAAAGCAAGAAAAAACACATATTTTTTCCGCGCTGTCCTCGGATACAACACGATGTATAATAAATGCCATTTTGAAGTAAAAACATACACACACAACCATCCATAGCCGATACAGATTGTCCAATACATATAGATTTTAGTTTTTATATGTTGTTTCACATATCTAATGCCAGCTGGTTTTTTCGCTGTGTCCTTTCATTTGTATCCATGCATAATGGAATAGATTTACCTCGGGAGGGTCCGACAATAAGTGGTGAGCAAAGCCAATATCAAATAGGTGATACATTAAATATCAATTGCACATCGGGCAAATCGCATCCTTCCTCATCGATAACTTATTTCGTGAATGACGAACAGGTTGGTCCCACAATAGATACCATTTTCCACAATTTTCTTTTTCGTTCATTTATATAATTTCGTGTGTGTTTTTTTTATTGTTTTAAATCGAATGGTAGCATGAATCATTATTTATAATTTAATCGCCTTTTTATCAATGAATAAATTTATATTTAATTGTTTTGCGCGTAAGTGTCACTGTCAAATTGCGCTCACCATAAATATATAATAGTGATTTTAACACGTTCATGTTTATTTTGCACAAAATGTTTATTTTATTTTGATTTATCAATTGAATTCGTATTTGTGTGCTGATGTCGTTGCATTTATATTGAAAACAGGTGTACGATTCGTCATTGATTCTGTATCCGCCGATTGTACATCCTCATGGTATGATGACAACAGTGTTGGGTCTTCAAATGCAATTGGATAGTTCACATTTTGAGGAAGGTTTGATGCGTGTTAAGTGCTTGACAAGCATATCGTTGCTCCTGGAGAATGCGGCCGAAACTAGAGAAAGTACATTTAATATAAAAAATAACCGGAAAACGAATAACAGCAACCACAATGCACAACGAAAGCCCCCGTTGACCGATAGCCGAGAAGTTTTTTTATTAGGTAAGTGTAACTCATTAAAAAGCATCTTTTACACACTCTTATTTCCATCGACCCGGGGCTCAACAATGAATGCACATTTTCATTCCAGTTCGCGGAACTTATTGTTTCCATTGCTCATTATTATGTCATTTGCTCTTGGTTTATGGTCACTTGAATTCGGTTCACAACCTCTCATTTCCTTCGTCACTTTTACATTTATATGTTTTCTTGTTTTTACTACTCCGGTCGCAAGTGTGTGTGTACTTGACGACAATGGTGGCGATGGTGGCAGCGGCGACTGTTTCCTTTTTTGCGTGCATTTAAACAATGTGTATTTTTGTTTTTCATTTCAAGAATTACTCCAGTTGAATTGGTGGCGCGACAAAAACATGTTTCTTATGTTGTAATTTTGCAATTTCGCGAATATGAAAATCTACATAAAAATTCGCCGACGAAAAAACAATAAAAACCGAAAAAGAAAAAGAACTCATTGCCACTCGAATGAAAGAAATAAATGGCCATATAAAAACGCAAAATAAAAGCAAATGTAGAAATGTAACCGCGCGCACCTCCTCATTCTCTCTCTCTCCCGTTCCTGTTCTGGTTCTCTTGGTTTTTATGTTGCTTAATTTATGAGACTCACTTTTTGCCGGCAGCAAATACGTTTAATACCATGTACGCATATGTATATCATCAGTTGATATGAATGGTGGACGGGTTTTCTCTGTTTAACCATTGCATTATAATCGAGTGTGTGTGCGCGCGGGTTTGTGCGAAAAACGGAAAGATCTTGTGAGTCATAATCATAAAAATTCCGGTCAAGAAGTCCCGCGTAGCGCTTTTATGTCTTTTGAGTTTTTGTTTTTCTGCGTACAAGTGAAACAACAGCATGCCAAAAATATATGGAAATAGAATGGGCAGCAAAAACACAGAGAAAAAAAAACAATATAACAAATAATATCACCGTCAAATGCGATGTTTTACAGTAAACCATCGAATAACCTTTTCAGACTAATAAAATACGGTAAACGCGCGTTCATTTGGCTACTTCATAATTTCACTCAACGTTTCCATACTGTTTTTGTTCGGCGGTTCTCTTTCTTCTCTCACCGTGCGACCAACCACATGCACACCAACTCACTACTATCTGAAATGTAAATTAAGGAATAAAAATCATTTTATATCTTTGTATGTGTGTGTTTAGCGGATCGTGTTCGTTGGTTTTACAATGGTCAGCAAAATGTTTGAACGAAAAAAAAAGCAAACGATAAAAATGAGCTTACCACCGAACCGCACGTATAAATAAAATTCACTGCACTTCACCATCGTCATCGCATCGTGACTCGCACACTTTGGCCACTAGTTCAAACTTCATTTTCGACGAGTTGAAGAGTCAACAGTCACAATACATACCTTACCAACGGCAAAATATATTTTGTTCACGTCGCATTTTGACCATTTCTTTGCGGACATTTAATCTCATTTCCAAGTCATTTTATTCGAGGCCATGTTTAGGGGGATGGGTAGGTGTTGATCATATGATGGGATGAGTATTGTTGTATGAGCCAATGTTTGTATATTTAAACAAATCATTCGCGACTTAAATATACAAAAAGGGTTGAACTGTGAGCACCGAAATTCAAATTGAAATAAAAACAGAAATAGAATAGAGAGAGAGAGAAAAAGAATTTGTGTGGGAAAGAAAAACGAATGAAAGAAAATGGCACCGAGAAAATGTAACATAGAACATATAAAATGCCTGGTGCTGTTGCTTGTGGTGCTGCTATGTTTGTGTATCTATATTAAAAATACCTTAATGCTTTCAAGGAAGAAAAGAGTTTCCGAATGAAAGCGGGCGAACAAAAAAATGAGAAAAGAAATCGTAATCCAATAGTCAGTTCTTAAATACATTTCACACAATCAGCAAGCGGATCAGGAGAGTCGAAAAGTAAGCGAGACACATCGAAATGGGAAAAACAGACGACGAAGTGAGAGAGAAAATTCACAATAATACAAAACAAGAGCTGAATTCAATGGGAAAAAAAGTACGAAATATAATAGAGGAGAATGGCACACACACACACACACATTCAACGTATAACAAAATAAAACCCGAAATGTTAAACACAAAAGCCTTATTTATTCGGCTATAAGCGAATGAATTAAAATTCAAAGACGAGAGAGAGAAAAAAAAAGTAACGGCAAAAGAATGAAAACAAAAGAATATCAAAGAGCCCAAGAATCAAACATAAACGAGGGAAAAAAATTATTACAAACATACACTCTCACACACACGCACTTACAGGCAATTCAAGAAATTAGAGAGGAATGAGAAAAATTGAAGAAAAATGGGTATTAAATTATTTTATGACTTTGTTCGCGAACAGCATATTGCGATATTATGAACACATTTATGGTTATGAAAACAAGACGGAAACGGCTTGCGTGGTTCGGAAGAAAGAGCGATGATGATGACGACGACGACAACGAATAAAAGAGAACGAGGAAGCAGAAGAAGAAAAAATTATTTCAACCGAAAGAAAAATGGCACATAAAACCAATTCTCGCGTGTATACTCGGCCCAAGCCAAATGGAAGAATTATTAGTTGATTCAACCCAAACCGAGCATAAATTTGACTTTTGTTCACAATCCGTATGTATACACTATTACCGAGCCGATGAATCGTACAAGTCAGCCACTTGGAGAAAATGTTAGATTTGACGAACCGAACAAATGCCAACGCAATTGAATTATTATGAAAGCAACAACTAAATAGCTGAAGCAATGCCTGTGGAATGCTAAAACAGTAAAAATATAGTAAAATTGTTATTCAATTATTTTTTTCTGTTGTTGTTGAACTTTTTCGACGGTTACCGTTGCAAAGTCACATCGGCGATGTTGTTGTCGTAGTCGTCGTCATCGTCATTGTTTTTGACTCGATTTTACTCTCATGTCCTTTCATAATATAAGCCCCTTACAATGCCACGACGAAAGGTATACGGTTGAGAAAATGGAACTCCGATTACAGAATTCAACTCATGAAATTCTCACACAATTTTGAAATCAACGTATAGAGTTTGTTCAGCTTTTCAATCGATAAGATAATGATCGATGGTGATTTAATTCTCAATATATGTTTTTTAGTTCAACTGAAATAATAATTCATGTCGGCATTCCGAGCACATTTCCAATCTGGGTTTGTTTTCAATGCTTGTGTGCATGTGTGCTGTATTTGCTGAATGCAGATGTATAAAATAGTTGGGAGTTTTTCTGATATATATATGCTGGGCTGACACCAGTGCCAATGCTGGCTCAAATGTGTGTGAGTGTTGTATATTGTAGTGCATCGTTATAGCGATATCTTTCCCAACCACACACATTCCGCTACAAAATAGAGGAAAAGTAGTTTGACGCCCTTTTTGTGTCTATCACTCAAAAATATTGATTTAATTAACATATTGTGTGCCATTTTGCCATCGTTCATTCGTTACCGTAATTCGTAATTCGCAGAGAGACAGGGGATGAGAGCATACATTCGTCCCAGTATAAATATAGTGGCATTAAAACGACATGAGAATTGTAGTGTGATGGCCATTTGTAGACGACTCCGTTTCAATTTACTTTTCGATTTATTTCAACGCACGTGAGACGCCATTCTTTCTTTTGCGTTAATACAATCCAAATTATCAGCTCGATTTATCATCGTTTCATATTTTTGCACGAGGCCGTATGATTGGGTGGAAGGGGGGTAAGGTTAGCTTCGTTTTTCTTGCTTCTATTGTGATGGCATCATTATTACGAGACCATCCGTCTTTATAAAATGATTATAAGTATCCATATTTTACCTTCCTTTTCGTTCCTTTTGAAATATTGTGAATGCGCCTGAATGAAAGCAAAAGAACGAGAGCGAAAATAAAAGAAAGGAAACAAACAAGAGAGAGAGAGAGAGAAAAAAAATTGCCGATGAATACTATGAAAAATTTCCTTTTCCTGCATAATTTCTGATTCATTTAATACGTGCGTTCTGAATATACTATCTCTCTGTCTGCCAATACAGTTCGCCGTATAGCATTTCTGTACTAATCGAAAAAAATGACACAGAAACATCATGGATGTCGTTTTTTTTTACCGGGCGAACAAAAGCCGAATTCACAAAAATACGTTGGCAAAATATTGGATTCGAAATTTGTCGAGAAGCGATGGTATTTCTTTTTTTGAGGGCGTTGTTGAACGAACGAAAATAAATGAGACTAAATGCTCGCAAATGTGCCAACATTCTCATTTTGTTCTCCATTTTTTATTCGGCTGCTCATCGAAAATGCAAGCTGTAATAAAGGCCAGGAATCGTAACTTACCGTTAAACTACATTTATTTTACATGCAAAGAAGCGTTTACGGTGGCGTAAATCCCGTCTCTTACTGAAAAAAATGCCTTATTAAAACGTTTAAACGTCATTTACTTTGTGTTTCCAAGACATTGCAGTCCCGCTCTATCTCATACTCTCTGCGAGGTTTTGGCTTCTTTTTTCGCCGTTTTGTTCATTGTACCCTCTCTCACTTCATCGCGCTATAGTTAAATTGCTATTATTTGATGTGTGTTTTACACTCATATTCCTGCACCAAATGCTGTCGTTCTCTATCAATTTAGTGTGTTTGCTGCCGACAATGAGTGTGTGTAAGTTTTATGCCGTTTTCAATTACTCTGACACATGCATCTAAAACGCTTAATGCATACACTATGCGCTATAAAACACCGTTGACTATCTAAAATTGTATAAAGAACACACAAAGAGAGAGGAAGTGAGAGAAGGAAAGAGAGAGAAATAACAACGAAGAACGATTACACAGCCATGAGACCGTCACACACGCAGACACCATACTAAAGAAAATAGCGAAAGCAAAAAAGTGCGATAGACAAAAAGCAGTGCCACGAATAAAAAATGTTCTCAATTTCCTGAAGGATTTTTCCTTGCATTTGCTTTATTTGCAAACGCTTGGCGCACAAAATATTTGCTGTGATG